TAATGTTTCATTTTGCATACATAAGACAAGAGTTATAAAACGATGATTGATTACGTGTCAATGAATCTCATTATTTACAAGCTTCTACATCAAGTACATACATTTGATAATTTCGCTGTCGAGAAACTCGTCATTGAGATTCATATTTTTATAAACTTATTGTTAGATTAGCTAGTTTGAATAAATAGTGTAACTATCATAACTAGGACTAGAATTGCGATCATTATATTCCAACATGCTATGAGCAATTGAGCTCGATAATTACTTTCATTTTCTGTGAAACATAAGATCTATTCTTTTTTTTATAGCTTCCAATATTAAAATTGTTACATCGAAAATTTCATTTAAATATTGTTATTCGTCAATTACTATATAGTATAGAACATTTCTTGCTCATGGTAACACATTGCTAATAGATAAAAACAAAAAAGTTATTGTGTCATTGCTATAAGCATATTTAATTCAAGAATCTCTTCCAGAAAAGACTATCCAAATAATGGTTAAAATAAATATTAATCCAAGGTCTAGCTGTAAACCATTCTTTCATCAATCTTTCATTGATGACATAATTGGAAGAATCAGATAATGGCATATTCATGGACAACTGAAAATACAAAGTCACATCCTGATGTTTATTCCATCTGTATAATGGATATCAGTTTTATATAAATCTTCTGAACCATTGTCATTATAAATATACTGCGCATACAGTTAGTAGCAATCTAGAATGAATAATCATCCAATCCTTACAAAGTATATAGATATTCAACTCATACACTTTCTGTAGAATGTGTATCACGTATATCAACTTGAATTATCTAAGAAGTCAGTGTATTATTTTAAAATGTTTATCTATATATTCTTGTTACTCATAACATAACGTCTTTATCGTAAATAGAAACTATACTTATAATTATAAAATTTTATCATATTTTCGATAAGGTTGATATATATATATATATTCAAGTTGAATAGAAAATTTTTCATTATCATATTTTGTGATTAGTATGACGAATAAAACTAAACGACAAATACCACTCGACATTAATAATCAAATATTTTTTTTTCCTTCGAAAATTATATATTAAATTTGAAGAATACATAATTCTATTTGAAATCCAAAAGAGACCTGGATGTAATCATCAATTGTAAATAGATTATTATTATTTGTCCTTTTTATCTCAAATGAATATAAATTATTTTAGCATATGAAAAATAACAAAATTTCTATACGAATCTCAAAACATCATAATATTCATTAATAATATCAAGATTTTCATTATAAATGTAAAATTCTTATGAAACAATCAAAACAAGTGGCAATGTCACTTTTGTGTTCATTTAAGTCTACATGCAATAATCAAGAGACTTGATAAAAATTTTTTTTTTTTCGAGTTTTATTCATTAGTCTTGATAAAGAAGACTATTCATTCATCGATCATTTTCTTTTCTTTACTTTTTTACTAGGCTTAATTAATCTAAATTTAGCTTCAATTAAATGAATAATTAATGTAATGAAGATCAATTTGTTTTTATTTTATTTTTCTCGAGATGTTTCTCACTTTAGTTCTTCAGACATTAACTATTCACAAGCACAATCATCACACTAATGAGCAATATAGGGCGGCGTCATTATTACCGTTTTACGTCTCCCACGAGATATGGTCATGATGATAATAATGATGATTATTTCTCTCAAATATTGAGCACAGATCCGTCAAAGAATGAAAAACTTATGTAAAATTGCATAGACAGAATGCGATGAGTCTCTTGAGAAGGAAAAAAATAATGAATGAACAAGCAAAAAGAAAAAGAATTCGAGCCGTGAACACGCCTGGAAAGAATGTTAAAAAAAAAGATTACATCATCTTCAAAATCGATAGCACTTAAGAGATAGAGAAAAAAAAATGCATTGTACGATGCTCGCGCATGTTCGCACTTATTTTCTAATTGAACATACACAACTGACAAAAGAGAAAAGATTGACATCTACAACAATTGTGATATCCTATCTTTAACAACAACATCATCAGCCTACAATGAATACATGTTGATTTGTCAATATTAAGGTAACAGCAGTATTTATATCTAGCTAGTGAATAAATCAGTGAGATATTTCTTATGAATATATATATGTATAGAGAAAGAGAGAGAAAAGAGAATCTTGATTGAGTCAATTCATGATGAAAACAGAGATTATAATTGAATGGAAATCGGTCCCGATTAATTGAACTTTTTCAACTGTGTCGCCTGGCGGCAATAGCAAGTAAAGAAATAAATTAATCTGATTTTTATGTCTATTTCGGAAGACAAGCAATAGTAGTCAGTCGACGGAAGTCGTTGATTTCTTCTTTTTTTTCTTCTTCTTCTTCATTAGGTCACGTCAAAATGATGATATCGAAACATGTTATTGTTTCTTGTCAGAAGAATAAAATAGACATTGTAATCGTGACTAAACTTTTAAAGAGTTATATGAAAAGAGAAGAAGAAAAAACAACAAACTCCTTTTATTTTGACTATTTCATTATAAATATGTATATCCAATATGCATATATAGAAGTAATCTTCTTGTTAAGACGAAGATATTACATCATCAAAAAATAATCACTTCGAATGTTGAGCATAGAATATCAATAATAGAGTTGTCATCTTCTCTTACATATACAATCATATTGATTGAATATCGACAACAGGCTTAGTTTAAGCAGAAATTGATGTCCAATAGACGATATAGAACGAACAAGATTGAGATTGTTTTAAGTAAAAATTAAAAGAAAAAAGAAAAAACGTATGTTTTCATATTAAAACGATATTAGATTCTTTTGTTGTATTGTCAAATCAATATTTCATTGACACACACAACTATCATAAACCGATGAAAGCATACGCGGGTATGCTTTTCTCTCTCTCTGTTTCTCTCTTACTAATTCGATTAGTCGCCTCAACCCGAGCATCTGTATGTGAATATAAGAAGTAAGAATGAATCTTGTTAGTAAAAAGAAGAAGAAGAAGAAGAACAATGTTTGCAACATCTCCGAGAATAAAATTGTCATACATATATTTATTTCGAGCTCGAATATATATTTAAAGTATTTCATTCGTATATATACATCAAAGAGAACGAAAGAGAAAGAACATATTTCTAATTGAATCGTCGTCATCATCCTATCGCATGTCAAGTATTACTACTGTATAGAAAATATGAAGATGTTCTTCCTTACTCATTCATACACCTTTTATTCCTTCCGGTCGAACAATATGATTGTATAGTCAATAGAAAGAAGCAAAAGAATAAACTAAACCTAAGGTAGTTACTTATTGATTATTACTCACTCGAGACGATGATTTACAATCCCTAAAGCAATAAGGTATCACTATACTTAATATTTAATAGCAAAGATATATTATAGATTAATAATTAATTTTTTTGTCAACGTTTGTTAGTGACACTAGAAGGCGACGACAGCATGTGTCAATTGACCTCCTTTTTTCTTTTTTTTTCGCTAGAGGCAAGTATATATAATGAATACCGAGAATAAGCGGCTGACAGTTGAGGTAAGTTAAAAGTTGAGAAAAAAAAAAAACGAATGACGACGTTACATTTTCATAACAAGATAGAAATATTGTCTTTGACATAAGGAATTAGTTTAAAAATGACAGCAATTAATAATAAGAGATCATTAAAAGAAGAAAAAAATTTTTTTTTTTGCTGTTGTAAGAAAAAAATAGATGAAATCAAATAGACATGAGGATAAAAATAATGAAATGCAAACACATCATCGAATTTTTTCTTGTCTTTATTTGCCATTTGATTGATAACATCCGTACGACATACATACGAACATCTGTCAATGCTAACTTCCAAAGTATTTGTTTATTTATTTATTTCTTTTCTGTCTATCAAATCGAGAGAACAGGTGATGGCATACATCATCGTTTGCATAATAAGTAGAGATAGTTAATGTTTTTCAACAAATGAATAATAAGTACTACCGTACTATTTCAATTATTATCATTCTAACGTAAACTTTTGAATGAATTAATATAAAACACTTTACATATGGTGTTATGCAGAAGAAAAATGAGACAATCGAATATGTATATATACTGTACAGAGATGTACTTTGTAAGGGAGTAAGCAGGCCTCAAGCCAATTTGCTTGAGTGACGATGAACTAGGCGATGGTGTCGAGTGCAATTACACGAAAAAAAGATACGAGAGACGATGCTTGTATTGGCGACTTCTTGTTTTATGATGAGAGAAAGAGAAAGAAAAAAAATTGATTAAAAGTGTGCGAGTATTTATAGGTCATATTGAAACAAATAAATGTGTCTATATACAATAATAACATTATTGATCGTTTGATATACTATTTCAATTAAGGTAAAGATTTTTGTCTAAATAATATATACATGTATATATATTTCTTCTTTTTGTATTTTTTATTTTGAAAATTTTATTTAAAAATGAAGAATGACTATTTTTCTGATTAATAATAAAATCGATGATGATTACATCAGTACTAGTGTAAAAAAAAAGCATGTATACGAAAGTATGATAATATTATTCTTTAGTTGCGATGACCATCTCGACAATGAAACTAAGAGACAGGCAACAGACATTTAATGCCAACGGGCATTTTATCAATCGTTTTAATGGTCATGACATAGTTGTTGACTTCAATAGTTTCTATCTCAAATTGCTTGTCACAATGTTAAACAAGATATTTCCTTAAGTGATCATATAGATTTATATACGAAACAATAGTATGTGTAACATGATCATTAGTAAGATAGACAAATGCGCCTGTTTTGACCATTTCCGGATAGACAGTCTAATTGACATTACTATTCGAATAGTGAACTTTGTTTTTTTTTTCTTTTTTGTATTCTTTCTTTTCTAGAATATTGAGATAATGGCATGATTGTGGCTTGTTTTATTTCTATCATCATGCCATGCCTTCATTCATTTTTATTCTATATATATTTGTTTTATTGATAATGTTTTCTTGTTGTTATTGCCAACAACAAGATAATCATTTTATTATACGTACTATTGAAAAATTACCTGTTCATACAGAAGTTATTAATCTTCGACGTTTATTATTATCATCAAATAACATATCTGATAGTATTAATGCAGATTTTAGTTTGGCTAAACGTGATGAATTTCCTTATATGTTTTTTATTATAAATCATTCATCACGTGGTATATTAACAATACGTAAAGAAATAAATCGTGATGAATTATGTCGTTTACGTCGTTGTCGTTGTGATACATGGTGTGATTTAGAACTTGAAATATTTGTTAATAATGCACAATTTAATATTGAATTACTAACTATACGTATACTTGATAAAAATGATCATAGTCCACAATTTTCAAGTTTAAATAATCAACTTAATTTAACTATTGTTGAAAGTGCACAAATTGGAGCAATGATTAAACTTGAACCAGCTATTGATTATGATCAAGGACAAAGTGGAATAATTGGTATGAAAAATTTTATATTTGATTTTACTAGAAAACTTTCATTTATCATATTAGATTATTCGTTTGACTAATATGCTATTCATATATATATCAGAGATTTTTTGTTTGAGTATCCATGTACAAATACAAGTGTTTAATGTTGTTTAAACGAAAATAATAGTAAAATGAAAACTATGATTGTTTGTTTAGCAATGAAGTTCTTGTACTTTAAATTTCAATATGAAATATAAGAAACAGAAAGATAAATAAAAGCACAGGATTTATTTGAAAATAAAAACATGAACGAGATTCTGGATAAACATATTGTTCACATCTTTTCAGACTCACTTTAATATGCACAATGTTATTGAACGATTAGAAAAAAAAAATCGTACAACTATATCGAATAATCAAGCAATAAGTTAGAATGCATAAAAGACAAATCTTATTAACTTTTTGTTTCTAATGATTGATATTTTGTATTTATAGGTTATTCACTTGTATCATCAGCACATCTTCCATTTTCTCTTCGATATGATTTAATACGTAATGATTTATGTCTTGTTGTTGAAGAAAATCTTGATCGTGAATTAATATCATCATATATATTTGATATAATTGCATATGATGGTGATAATCAAACAGGTAGATTACATATATATTTAAATATTGATGATATTAATGATTCTCCACCAAAATTTAATCAATCAACATATACAATAAATAATATTAGTGAAAATATTCCTATTGGTTCAATTATAATTCGAGTACATGCTACAGATGATGATGAAGGTATTAATGGAGAAATAACATATCATTTAATTAATCAAAATAATTGTTTTGAAATTGATTCAAAAACTGGTGATGTACGTGTTCGATGTTTATTAGATTATGAAATGAAAACAATACATCGATTAGAAATTGAAGCTAGAGATAAAGGTGAAGGATTAAAAACAGATTTTTGCACGTAAGTTTTATATAAGATTGATAAACTTTATTTTTATTTTTCTAATTTTTACTATTAGATTAATAATTTATTTAATCGATGAAAATGATAATTATCCAATTATTGATTTTTATCCAAATGATATTCCGATTGATGCGAATACATTAAAATTATTTTTAAATGAATCATTACCAATCAATTCATTAATATTATCTTTATCAATAATTGATCCTGATTCAGGCGATAATGGACGTGTTACATGGAGTATTGATGGATCATCATTAATTCCATTTCATTTAATTCGTTTAACAGAAAATACAGGTGAATTACGTACAAATCAATTACTTGATCGTGAATATATATCGGAATATTTTTTTGCAATTGAAGCAAATGATTATGGAAAACCAAAATCAAAAACAACTCGTTTAAATATACATATTGATGTTTTAGATGATAATGATAATAAACCAAAATTTCAACAAGAAAATATTCATACAACTATAAGTGAACATGTAAAAATAGATAATCAACATGGTTATGAAGTATATCATATTAAAGCTGATGATTTTGATCAAGATCAAAATGGAGAAATTGTTTATTCAATTTTAAATGAAAATAATAATCTTTTTCAAATTGATTCACAAACAGGAATTATTCGATCTATGGTTGAATTTGATCGAAAACAACAAGATACTTATGTATTACATGTTCAAGCAAAAGATAGAGGTAAAGATTATTTTGCACATAGTTTGTTATTGATTACTACACGAGTTGTAAATCGATTGATTTAAGAAGATTCATTTTCACGATTTCTGAAGAACGACTCATTACAAAATATTTGAAAATTTCAGGATAGATAGCTTTCAATGAGTAAATTAAAAGTTGTCATAGACTCTGAATTACTCCCTTCTAGGAAATATCTGGATTGCAAAAATAAAGAATGAGATTTATATGGCATTTGATAGAACGGTTCAACAAGGGAAGAAGAACAAAACGAAGGACCATATCATATCTTGAGCAAATGGTACCTATCTAACGATGATTACTTCATATGTAAAATAAGTAGATTATCAAAAGAAGATTACAATATATAGAAGACAATATACAATGTCATTAGAGGAGAATGAAATAATAATAGACTCATCGAAGATTGCCTCAATAACATACTTTATTGTCAAAGCATTGACATAATTTGATTCTATGAGGCTGCGAATAGTAATGTCTCAGGAATATAGCTCAAACACAAAGAAAAATAAGTGTGAATAATTACATCTCACTATAGTTAGTACTAAGATGTTGATAATGTAAAAAATGAGTGAATTTTTTCTCGTTCATTGATATATAGTTTTTAGTTCGATTTGATCACTGTTTGCCTAAAAAGAACTGTAATTGAAAATGTAGCTTTAGTAACGATGAACTCGGGGTTTTTTTTTTATAGAAATTTTTGAATTTTGATTACGTCATTTTTTTCAAACTTTATGAAAACATTTTATTCTAATTCAGCATTAAAGACTGAGTAGAAAAATATTATTTGATTAGAGTTAGAGCTAATGAGGTGAAAAAATCCTGTCAAATATAAATAGCTCCAATATGCATCGTAGAACTTCTTGTTTGTGATTATTCGTGTAAATCTATTTAGCTTTTTGTAATAAGAGATAGAAGCAAATATCTTATTTCATTATAATCATCAGATCGTAAACTACAAAAATATCTATTTAGATTTTCTTGATTATATTTTATTAATTTTTCCCATTTGGTGATAAAATTAGACAATAAAATAAAAAATGTATTGATATTTAACGGTTTTTATTACCATGGTTCAATTATAAACTAAAATAGATAGTTCTTTTCAGAATAAGTGTTAAAAAGTGCATCAAATCATATATGTTATGAAAATATTTTATCTCTTCGAAAAATAGATCCGAAGGGACTACAAATGTGTTCTCTATTGAACACAATTTTTTACTAAAACATAGCATTTTTTTAAATACTTATTCTGAATATGTTATCTATCTTAGTTTCTGATTGAACCATAGTAATACAAAACTGTTATTTATGTGTATATTGTTTATCGTTTTGTCTAATGTTACTACCAAATGGGAGGAAAATTTAATTTTCTTAATAAGAGAATATAATCTAAAAAGCTAAATAGACACTTACTTCTATCTCTCGTTACAAAAGACCAGATAGATTTACATAGATATCCACAAATATGTGCTTTCAGGCATTTTCGAGCTATTTATGTTTAGCAGGATTTTTTTAACCTTATCAAATATCATTTTTCTACTCAGTCTTACGAGGGAACATTCCCAAGTGATACGCACCATTTGGGTTCATATTGTGCTCATAAGTAGGACCCAATAAGACTAGAAAAAGCCTAAAAGAGTTCGTACCATTAGGCCTTTCTTTCAAAGNTCGGTTACATTGATTTACGATCGTTTACGTCCTTGTAAACTGTCGTCTTCGTCAAAATACGGCCGTGTTACGGCAAAGATTTTGATGTAAACGATTGTCGTTTTTCGCCGTACACGACACGGTCTCACACGACCGTAATACGGCGCATACCAAACGGGTTATTTACGGCCCGTATACGGTCGTAATTTCGACGGATACGGCCGTTCACGTCGTCGTAAACGACTGTGTAGGGCCGTTTACTGGCACAGTAATGTTCGACCTGGGAGAATATGAAAAGAAAAAATACGTCCGAAATGAAATTACTTGAATTATATAAGAGATATTTCTAGTAACTTTCCTCGGAGATTTTGGAAACATCCTATACTTCAATCGATATTTTCATCTGATATGAATCTAAATGATCAGTTACAAAAACGTATGTAGTATAAATGAGGGTGGGTGTGGGTGTTGGTGTGTGATGGTGTGCGTGGGTGTCGGTGTGAGCATGAGTAGTTGTTTGTAACTAGCACCCGCGCCCCACACCCACTCACACCCGTCGTGCTCAGCTTCAGTTTTATAAACAGTAACTTGTTTCACTATGTGCATGATATAAGCCATATTGCACGTTTGTTCGCACTACTGCTGGCATACCGATGATTTATCGATGGTAGCGCTAATGGCCTTCAGTTCCAGCTATAAACGACTACAAACAATATTTTCTTCTTTAATTCGAATTATTTATGAGAAAGAATCTAAATCAACAGAGAAAAACAGTTTCAGAATACACTTTGCTAATAAAAAGTTTTGCAGCGTCGTCTATAATAAAAATTGATCTTATAACCGAGGCCGATCCCGGCTCTGCAGCTAGTACAGGCAGCTTAGATGCGCCAACACTATGAAAACACATCGAAAACGACACAATTCTGCAAATTTTAATTGACTTCAAAAATATTCACACATTGTGATACAACACTTTACAAAGAAATCATCGGTATAACGCACATTATTCGAATTCGTATACTAACCGTAGTTATCACGTGGGAGTCAATAAAATCTCACTCTACATAATGGGCTACAACACTTGACTTTGTTACCACTCTAATAGGCTGTTCTCACATTTTCTGTATTCGTGTTGCAAACACCAGATTAACTGTAACAGTGAATCGCGCTAATCAAAGAAATCTACAGTTAACCACTTACAGTCACTCCTAAGTTTCACAGGGAAAAAGAAAAATTCTGCTTCAACTGCGAAAAGTACCATTTTCGGCAATCTTCAGGTTCAACACACTCCCACAATTCTCACATATTGCTGTGCCTACCCATGTATATGTAGGGTGTGTATAATCTGAAGAAGAATCCCATTTTCTCGTTTTTCATGGATACAAAATATTTGATATCATATGTCAATAGATAGATTATATTTGTACTCAATGCAGCATCGAAATGAACAGAAAAACGAAAACGAAAAAAGACGTCACTGCAAAAAAAAATATTTTTAGATATCTATCATTATTCATATACTGCTCCATGATGTCAGAGGCAATAAAAAGTTGTTGTTAGCCAAGATGACATTTATTTCCAAAGTATCTAACATTCTGAATGGACAGTAATTAGTTACAGAAGACCTAATTTGTCAGTTGTGACCAATAAAATGTCGAGAAGAAACTCTAAACTAAATGTAGGTTACGAGACAGTTTTATATTGTGCTTATATTTCAGGGCGACTTAGCGTATCGACATCATCTGATGCATGTTAAACTGTAAAAATTTGAAAATTCAAAAACTTTTTGAAAAAATCACAATTCCTTTGAATCTGGTGTCAAGTAGAAGTGGCCGACTTTATTCGAAAAACTTGTGTTAACCAGCAAATATCGATAGTTTACTGTGGTACACGGAGCCGGTAGCCGTACCGATAAAACCACAATAAACCATCGACTTTCATCACATGCAAACAGTTCGCATAATGTTTCGATCAATCATTTTCAACTAATGCTTCTACTCCACCAACATGATTAAATATGGTTTTATTAGCCCTATGTTTTGATCTCTATTTTTTTGGCAAGATCTTTCATTTTCCCTTATTTCATAATTTTGTTACATAATTTCTTCATCTGACACGTCACTTTCATAAAGCATATTATGTCATGTCCACCTGTTTTCTACTTATTTACTTTGAGTTGAAGTTGGAGAAAAGAATAGAAGCAAAGACTGCCTACATGCGTGTCGCACATGGTGTCTTCATCACATGGAAAAAGAAAAAAGAAAAGAAGAAAAAAGAGTGAATCACACCATAACGCCTTTCAGTCCTTGTACTTACGCATTGATTTCATTGATTGTGAGCATATTTTATTTACTAATCATTCAATTCATTTTCTGATTATATAGTCAATAAACTTATTGATAATCTCAACTATTTCACTGACTAAAAATTTATTACTGTATCAATACATGATATTATATTTATTTTTATAAATAATCACCATCTACATCTTTACCTTATGCAGTAAACAAATTTTTTTATTCGTCAAAATCTTTTTACTATCAAAGGAAACTTCCAATGCATTTAAAACATGAGTACAATAATTTTATTTATTTTTCTTCTTTGTTTTTTCTGTGTGTAACGTCTTTGATTACATGGCTTTTTCCTTTCTATTTTTTTAAAAGGGTATTTATTATTGACTTCCGTGAATGTTATTGTCACTGAAATTTATTTAGACTTTACTTATAAACAATGTCGATTCGATCAGACCCATTCGTTATCACAACATCCACTAAACAAGAAAAGAAAAGGACAATATGTGAAGCTTGTCTAAGTGAATTAGAACCTGATCATTCTGGTATACAATGTGTACAAGGACATCATTTTTGTCCTGCATGCTCTATTAATATTGTTCGTTTATTTTTTTCTGAACCACAAAATTATATACCTTTACGTTGTGTACAATGTCATATTGAATTAAATCCTAGTGTATTTGAACGACAATTAACACCTGAACAATTTGATTTTTATGATCAGCATATGCTTATATTTGCTTGGTCAAAAGGTTTTCTTTTGGAAGATGAACGTTTAGATCATTGTCCATTTTGTACTTTTGCTGCTATACGTAATGCAAATGCTGCACATATTTTTTATTGTCAACATCCAGAATGTCTCAAAGTATCATGTTTAATATGTCGAAAAGCTTGTCCACAATTTATAAGTGACTATGGTACTGATGATGAATTAGCTGAAATGGAAAAACATTTTAAATGTGCTGAATTAGCTAATGATAAACGGATAGTTGATGAATGTTTAGAATCAGGTCAAAAAGTTGCTTGTCCAAATTGTGGTTTAGCTGGAATGAAAGATGATGCTTGTACACATATGACTTGTCCAACATGTTCGCAACTATGGTGTTATTTTTGTGGAAAAAAAGTTGAAGATTGTGATAGAGAACAAGATGGAACCAATGGTATATTTGATCATAATCATAATTGGGATCGTAATCCTGATCGATGTCCAATGTATTTAACTCAAGTATGTGATATTGATGATCGATGGCCTGACGATGAAGAACAATGTTTAGTTATGTTTCATCGTCATCGTTCATTATTATTATTGCGTGAAGTATATCAAAGACTTGGTAAAGAACGTATTGATGAACTTGATCATCATTTTAATATAATTAGTACATGTGGTTTTACATTGGAAGAAATTCTTAATGAAGATCTTACATTAATTGAATATCCAGATGATATTGAAACTAGGCGTGATGATTAAACTTTATATTGTTTTTTTTTGTGTAAAATAGTTTTGTTTTTCTATTAAAGTATTTAAAAATATTTTATATCATAATGAATGACAAAAAATACTTTTGATTGCCGACATTTTTTGAGTTGTGATTATTCATTATTTCTTTTCATGGATCCACGGTCAAGTCCTCCCCAACTGATATTTAGGATTGACTATTTCACTTAAATTGTTTTCGAATGATGTGCATATCGATATTGGTTGGTTTTCATTTCGGCTTTGATTAATCTTATAATCAAGTCTAGTGAGAATACTTGTATCTTTGAGATGACTATCTGTAATTCAAGTATGCAAGTACTTCTCTACTGCAAGCATCGATCTAACTGTTATTTCCACTCCTCGTACCGTCACTTGGTCTTTATGGTTCGTTGTACCACTACAGAAGGAAACCAAAATGCTCTGAACTAATTGGGCTTTTAATACGTCGCACAAATATGCTGCATACCCTCAAGTAATCTCTGCTACTCATTTTGCTTATCTCAATTAGTTGACAAATAAGGGTCTAATTTGGAAAGGACTGAATTCGGAAAAAGTCTGGTTCAGTCAAATCAATTAAGGACCATATTGAAGGACGCAAGTGCATGTATCTGGGAAAAAACGATATATTCGTTTTAATATATTATTTCTCAGGCTAATATTGTAATATATATATTGTTTTGTCCTTAACGCTATATTTTTGTTATAATCCAGATCAATGACAACCTTAACTAATTGGTTTGGTTGACAGTTGGAAGCACTGCAAAGTGAGGGTGAGATTGTCATCGGTATGGAAATACATCTACACTCTATTGAAAAATATTAATGGGAAATGAATGTTGAAAAAATTTCGTGACAGAAAACACTGTCACATAGATATAAACGTTTTTAGGTGAGAATAAATAATAAATATCGTTTTATCAAAATATGAAAGTTTGATAATGCAACAATATTGAATATCTATTTACTAATATCAAAGATTATTTTTGCATAAATAAAATATCATATTGAATTTAATCTTTTCTTTGTTTTTTGAAAGAGTGAGATTTAAAATAAACAATGATGTTAAAGAATACATCATTATAGAAATCACGGAAAAACTATTGGAAAAAATAAGAAATTCAGGTATGGAGAAAAATTTTACAATTACAATATTTAGTAATTGAAATTGTTTGAATTCGACTATAAAAAGTTTAAAATGTTCAAATAGGTATTTTCTTTTGCAACCTACCAAGCATTTTATATAATGCATTTCAACACTTCTAAAATTACTTTTATTGAAGACAACGTTATCACAGTATTACAATGACACAATCTCTCATAGTAGTATAAAGTGTCAGCACATATCTCTACAGACAGACATTGACTTTCAAATCAAGGTAATGTTCGAGCTTTTTATCCATATGTACATTGTCATCGAAGAAAAAAAATTTTTTTTCTAATATCTCATAGATCTTTCAACCAATTAGAATGAATACTAGACAAACAAAAATACTTTCAAAAACACATTTCTGATTAATAGATGTTGAGATTAAAATGCATATGATGTAAATACTATCTACGAATAAGATGTGATACATCAACAGGAAAGAAAAAACAATGATGATAATTGTAAAAATATCAAATATTAATTATAGACGTAGATCTCAAAAGGTTTTTACTGATTTTGAAATAATTGATTGATTCGTTTTTAGATCTTTTGTTATTTTCTTTTTTCTTTTATTACTAACAAAATACTTATCTGAATCATAATTGCAACAAAAAATGATTAATATTTCTTACTGTTGTTGCTGCTTTTTCTTTTTCTTTTTTCTTCTATGAATATACTTTATTCTCGTATTCATCGGATATTCTTTGTTGCTTTCTCTATGGCACAAATATTAGTCAATGTACCCTTCTTTTATTATTTGTTGGTCCCTTTGCGGTAACGTGATGGCTTTTTTTTCTTTCTCTTTTTGATGCGTTTGTGTTGGGAAGAGAAAAAAAGAAAAACGAAGAAAAAAATATGATATGTCTTGCTGTGTAACATCATTACATTGCAAGAAAGAAGAAAGCAAGAGAAACTTTGTACATTATACGATAAGAGCTCCTTGAATATTTTTCTACCAGGAGATAAATATATCTATGGCCCTTCAATTGACTTTATCGTGTGATTTAAATAATTCGCAAAGTGGTCCAACGCTTATTCATTCAACTGGTGTACAACATTACAAAATTCCACCAGAAGTGGTATGTTAAAATAAAAGATCGAATGATTTATTTGCTTTGTTTCCTTTTGTATATTAAACGTTAATAGATAATTTTTGAATTTCCTTTTTCTCGTTAAACTTCTTTTAATATTGAAAATAATAAAAATATTTTGTTTTTATTTTTCATAGATTCGAACTTTACAAGAAAATATTTCAAATGATTTATTATCTGATCATGAAGAAGGTGTTCTTTGTCAAGATGGTCCACAACGTATTCTTGATGTTCTTCGACGAAATGGATTTACTTTACAAAAACAAACAACTGATCATAACAAAGCTTTATGGACATTAATACAAAGTGGTGGAAGTAGTCATGGTGGTGATCATCAACCTGTTCCTCCTCCTGCTCCACATCCAACACCAACTGGTGAAGAGGATGAAGATGCTGGTCGAGAAGAACAGGGTGAAGACGACAATAAGGAAGGAGAAGAAGGTGAACAAGAAGAAGAAGAAGAAGCAAATTAAAAAACATGCAATAATATATAGTTCATTTTTAAATAACTGAATGCTTTTTATCTGTTCGTGGGTACATTCATTAGCGCTTTTTTATGAAACTTATATTAAAATATCTTTAATGAGTTTGTGTTGTTTTTTTTTCTCCATATAAACAATAAAAATAGATGAATAAATCGAAAAATTGTCCTATAAAAGATGGAGTTCAAAACAATCGGATGCTAACTAATTGTGAATCGAAAATATTATCTTTATCAATTAAATAAAAATTCAACCAGAGTTAAACAAGTAATAATTGATGTATGTTACATCGAATTATTGATAATAGTAAAATTTTAGTCAACGGCAAATCTAGGACTTTAGAAAAAGGGATAATCATGATTACAAAACATTCTTTGAAATTCATTAGAGATTGTATCGATTCATTTTTTGGCGTTTTCGTAAGGTAGGAACGATCGTTTCTAGTGCTTTCTTCAGATTAGTCATTGGTTTAGGCGATGACTGTCCTGTTCCGCAAAATAAAAATATGTTCTATTCATCGGCGTCATCAGGATTTTTAGACCAATGGAAAAACTTCTCTTGTGTCGGAGAAAATGATGGACGAAATGGGCAAGGTTTTTATTAATAGACCAAAACGTTTTTGGCCCAACAATTACCGATAATGTAAAAAAAACATAAAAAAATGAAATGAAGTTCTTTTAATCAAATATGCATCAAACTCAGATCTTAAGCTTGAGTCAGGTGTGTTTTAGTCTATTTTTAATGTCTCTGTTTATAACATTTATATTTCAAGTTCAAACAACGAAATCCCTACGAATTAGGTCATTTCACATTCTGGCTTTTTCCTTTATGTTTTTACATATACGTCATTTGATTTTTCCTTTCTTTTGTATGCGTCACTCCCTCTATATATATCTACACATATCTGTTCGTGTGTGCTCTCTTGCTCTGTATTCTTGCTTCTCTTCTCTTTGATCTATCCTACTCAACCTTTATGTGGTTAGTGTTTGCTCAATAAAACCGAATTCACGTTCATCCAAACTTACAGTTAACATATAAGAAGCGATTCTTTTCTTCTTCTTGTCTTAATTCTTCACAGAGAGAACAAGCAAAGAGCGCATGTGTGATTCAGACGGAAGAAAAAAAAACAGTTACTATCTAATTCAAAAATAAATAAACAATTTTGAAAAAGTAAAATTTCAATGGGTAAATCTTCAAATGAAATAGGCAATTGCTCATTTGCCCCTCCTTTTGTTACGCCCCTGGTTCTATTGATACCATACCAAACCATTAAAAATATAGGTTTAACTACTTTTGAATAGTTGATATAGACGTTCAAGAAATCGAGCATCTTGTCCTCAAAAGTTAAACAAAAAAGACTTACTGCTAGATTGGTTTTCAATTTCTACACGTAAGTATAACAACGAATATTTGGATGCATTCCAGGTCAAAGTCACTTCGTCGATACGATTGAATGATATCCGACAGTGGGAGCTTGTCGAATCCAAGGAAATTTCATGATATTAAGGTATCTAGTTGTTTTGTTTTTTGTCATTATTAGAAAATATGTGAAATGCATTTGTAGTACTATTTATGGCGACGCGAAGTCATTTTTCGCTAATTCAGTTCAAACATTCATGTTCTTAAACGACTGTTTATGGTGAAGTGGGAGCTATACAACCTAACTGAACAGTAAGTATAAATTATTTATTTTATTTTTTAATTCAGATTATATTAAAGTACATTTAAGCTGTTAGTTTTCAGCTAATTATTCAATAGGAAGAGAATAGGATGAAGCGTTAAATAATACCCAAATGCAAGTTTAACATGATCCCATCGAATCCTATTTGTATCCGATGTTTTTCAGCTGTTGAATCCAATGCGATTCAAATGTAGAATTCTCTCTCGTTGGATTTTGAAGAAAAAACATTATTATCCTATATTCATTAGGGATAGCGATATATTCTGTTCATTTTGTCAAGAGTCACCACTTCGGTCAAAATTATAGAGAGAAGAATACGAAAAACGTTTGCATTTGCAGTCTAAAAGCACATATTTACAAAGAATTATCCGTAATAGGAAGTAACTCATTCAACTATGAACTAAATTTAGAGTTTTGTTTATACGAAAATTATACAAACCATGAATCAAATTGATAATTGAAGCAAACTTGGTAATAAAGTGTGAGTCATCTAAGGTCTCACAGTATATCATTGGTTTTTATCGAGTATAACTTCAGTAGAGACATTGTATATTTTATTCGAAAAAAAAAATTTATATGGTAGATTATTGATGATATGTTTCTATAAGAACAATTGAAAATACAAAAGTATGTTCGATAATATCGCTGATCAATGAACAAAAAAAGTTTTAGTAAAATATAATTTCTCATATCGACAAGACAAAATCTGTTCACTATTAATTGTGATCATTTGAATCAATGTTTCATGCAGACATACTTTTTCCGAGGCGTATATTGACATTTCAAGAGATGGAAAAACATTTTTAACAGATTAATCAAATTATTTTCAACGTAGTGACTATACAAACAATTAACTGTTATTCTTGCAACTTGTTTCACTCTCAACTAAATTTTCAATTCTTTGTATATAATATACTACTTCAACATCTCAATCGATACTAATATCAAATCTATTTACAAGAGTGGTTATATGTTTAGCTCTGAGTCTAACTATGACTGCGGAACATGTACCGACGACCATACGTCAACCCAAACATCACCACACTCCTGCAGCAAATATCATACATTCACTTCCAATACCACAAACACACACGCTAGTAGCACACATCAAAACATGAAAATATAAAATTTTCGAAAATCTGGGTCTCTAGAAAAAAAAACTCGAGAGCTTAATCATCTATCACTAGGAACTTAAATGCTTTTAGAGTATTTATGTGAACACAATGTAGTACTCATAGGCGAAAAAAAAACATCTGAGAAGGTTTCCTCGTTAGTTTTCGTACTGAATAACCATTAAACTTGTTAGTGGATTTCTCAAGATTAAATCTCGTTCTTATTTATGAATAAGTTTTCTCGCTTTTCATATAATTTTTAAAACTTCATATATATTCTATTGATAATCAATATGAAAATACAACAATGATTTATTCGTATATACATACAGAAAAAGACAAATCAAGTTAACAATTGTCATATGTTTTAAGATTCCTACTCAGAAAACTCAATTTTCATCCAAAAAATGATTTTTGAAATAAATATATAGGAACATGTTGCCTAGCGTACAAATTTATAACAGTAATTTTGATTCTCGAAGATTTGAGGGAGTTTCATAAATAATCTTTCAAAATTATGTCGATAAATAATGATGTCTAGAGCAATTAGAATTTTTGTTTTTTGTAGAAACACACTTATGAGATTTATAACAACACGAAGGTGTAAATGTGGATATTCTCTTCACCCATGTACATAGACAAAGGTTTCGATTGATATATAATGTATTTATGCTTCTCATCTCTATTTTAAGTAATCATAGGACGATCATATAAAAGAAGACCTTTTTCATTGCGTTTTTTTTTTCAAAATTGATTTTCTTCAATAGTGATCCAACCGTGGACAAATTTCTTTGTCAATATACTTTATTTTAGAGAGCTGTATTTTTTTTTTCAGATAAGAGAAATGAATTTTCTAATTAATCATTACTTCTAGAGAAATGATAAGGTTTCCAGAAAACCATACTTATAAATTTCAGATTTTTTGAAGCTTTAATAATCTGAAAAATGAAACATAGTAAAAATTTAAAAAATCTCTTCCTTATCTGAAGTGGTAAGGAGTTCTTTTCAAATCAAAGCAACGCAAACTTTACTGCCTAATCCCTGGCAATTTCTTGAACAGTAACGTATGAAGACATGAAATGATAAGAATGCTTTACAATAGCAAAACAAACGAGTTTTCTCTTCAATTTAAATAAATGATCGCAACTTATATTTTTTTAATTCAATATATAAAACATATGATTATTACTTACTCGATTTTCATATAAAACCATGTAAATAGTTAATACATGTTAAACTCATTCAAACTCAATAAGAATCTTATCTATATACAAAACACTCATTAAGAAGAACTTTTCTATCTTCAATATGATCATTGGCTGTATCTAATTGAGTAGATAGATGAATTTGAACAAGTAGATTACTGTCTATCTATATTGGAATATCATATATATGCGAAAGTATCGATATGAGAGACATGTTGTTATTATATATAGCATATCGAAAATAGTATTGATGGAAATAACGTCTTGTATACTTTTATATATAATTAATTGGAATATAATTGTATTTCAATAAGAACAATGCTAAATATTGGCATCTGTTTTTTTTCATATTTCAATCGAACAAATGTAATTATGTCACTTTATTTATAGAAAAACAATACATAATGGATATTGTATATATACGATGCTCTTTTACTGATACATTACAGACAAAAATGACCTTAGTGGATGAGTAAGAACGAAAAAAAAGCACAGTCACATAGATGGAGAAGCATAAAAGCATAATCAAGTAATATAGATAAATTTGAATGTATGCAAAATAAAGGGTAAGATTATGCATACAAATACGACATTTCATGATAACGATTATGTTCTTTCTTACTGTACCATGATAAATAATGGCATATGTTATTTCTTCTGTATTATCCACTATTCTCATTGATAAAAAAATTCATGTATAAATCTTTAGTAATGTGCTATTGTAGAACTAAATTATTTATTCGTTAGTAAAAATATCATTAGATTTAAATTATATCAATAAGATTAAAAAAAAGAACTTTTAAATTAAAATCTATTATTCAAAGAACTATTAATCTGAATGCATGCATGTGTAAAGGTTTTCTGAATGAATGTGATGAATTTTCATTTTTTTTTTGTTTATTTTACTTAATGAATAATTTTGATAAATGCTTATTTACAAAGTATATGTATTCTCCATTTATTTTCATTTTCCAAACATCAAAGAAAATATTTATATTTATTTTAATAGAAAAAATATCTAGTGCGGAAAATCAACAAATCTTTTTCTGTATTACTATGTTGTTCTATTTCTATCTGACTTTCTCTTATATATGCTCTGTCACATTGACAGAGAAATGTCTAAAAAGACAAGAACTGAAAGATATGAATGAGCTAAACTTAGGCTATAGTCGACATCGATATATGATGAGAAAAAAAAAAACGCCTACACATTCTCTTTTCTGTACATATTGGTATCCTCAAGGAAGATATATATATATATATATATATTTTCTCTTTGCTGGCCTATCTCACTCTGCTGTACTTGTAATACAAAAATGTTCTATGTGTAATAAAAGAGAAGAAAAAATTCCTTCTTTCTCTCTCATATGACTGGCTGATTCTTCTGTTTTTGTGAGTCTTTATTGCTATTACTACTTATTGTCTAGCCTCTATCCTCATATTAATTTCATCTGCCAAACGGCACAAATTTTCATTAATGTTTCGAGTATTATTTAAATTAAATTTTGAATGCAATTGACTATTACACCAATGACTGACAATTCTATTATAATACCCGATATAAACCATCAACAATCAGACGATGATGATAATGATAATGATAATGATGAAATTAATGGTAAAAGTTCAATAAAACCAGCTGAAAATGGTCGTAATCTCCTGAATACTTTATTATCAAGAAATACAAAGTTACCAACACGTTCTCCATCCCCATCACCTCGTCCAACATCATCAGGTCCACCTGATCGTGCATTAAATCAAAAATTTCATATAGCTGCTTTAACAGGAAATTTAAATGTTTTACAAGAACTTGTAGGTAAAGCACGTATACCAATCGATTGTCGTGATAAAGAAAATTCAACAGCATTATTACTTTCATGTGCACGTGGACATTATTTATGTGCTGATTATCTTTTAAATAATGGTGCTGATTCAAATGCTCGACGTATAACAGGTGCTTCTCCACTTTATTTTGCTGCATCATATCATCATACACGTATTGTTGAACTTCTTTTAAATAAATATAAAGCCATTGTTGATTTATCAACATTTGATGGTTCAACACCCTTACATGCTGCATGTGAACGTGGTTTTACTGATATTGTTCAATTATTAATTAATTCACAAGCAAATATAAATGCAAAAATGAACGATGGTACAACAGCTATAATGCTTGCATGTCAAAATGGACATTTATCTGTTGTACAAATGCTTATATCAACTGGTCAATGTAATTTTAGTATGAAACGTTTAGATGGTATAACACCATTATTTCTTGTTGTTCAACATGGACATGAAACAATATTTGATTATATTATTGAAAATGTTGATAATATACAAGAAACAATTGATTTAGCACGTGAAGATGGTGCAACACCATTATTTAAAGCATGTCAAAAAGGATATGAATCATTAGTTAAAAAATTGCTCAAATATAAACCAAATATTGAATTACTTAAAAATGGAGAATCAGTTTGTTGATGAAATTTATCTAATATTATAAATTTATTGATTGTTTTTTTTTTTTTTATATTTCAGTGTTTACATGCTGCAACTATGTTTAATCATGCATCAATTGTTCGTATTCTACTTGATAATGGTTCAAATCCATTATTAAATAATTGGGAAGGTATGACAGCAGTTGATTTAGCTAAAGAAGCTCAACTACAAGATATACTTGATATACTAATGACAGCATTAGCACCAAAATTAAGTGAACATGCTCGACAATATTTATTACATAAAAGTACAAGACGTACTGATGCTGATTTTGATTTAGAATTAGTTGAAAATGAAGAACGTGACGAATGGAAATTATATAAAAGTTTAAAATCAGCTGCTGAACTTGAACGTTTAGAAGAAGAAATTGAACAAACACCAATTCTTCCTGATATACCAACAACAAAAGGAAAACAAACTGGTACGAATCGACAAAAGTCAACTAGACCACATCGATATCATACAACATCACAAAAATGACATTTGAAAATTTTAACGTTATTATTCGATTAAACATTTCGTTTTAGAATAGAATTTTGTTGCGAATTAACCAAGTAGTTTACTGTATTATTTCAATGACGACTACCAATTAATGAAAAGAAATAATTGTTCCATGCTCTTGGAATTCAATTACTTTTTTAACTAGAAAAGAACAACAACAAAGTAAATACAATGATGCTCAAAATTTATCATATATTCACCAGATGATTTTTTTTTTTTTTTTGGGAGCGATCGAATTTATCTAAAGTTATCTATTGATAGAATAATTTGGAAGGGTTTCGTCTTCACACTCAGTTGGTTTTTCGTCCTAAGTATCTGACTTCAACTTAGTTCTTTCCGCTTGGTGATACGATATATAACTGGGATTTATAGAAAAATCCGAAACAATAATAAATCCTTGAAGCAGCTAGTTAGCGGTGGAGCCAGAACACTAGCATTGCTTTTTTGTTTTGGTAAGGGTGATGGTAAGTGAAACTAATTTATTGGCACAGTGTAATCTTCATCACACGACGTACTTAGCTATGGCATCAACTGCCATTGCCCAAGTATAACATTAGAGTTACTATAATGTTCTGATTCCGCCGCTACTATTGGGTTCAACATCATCAGATACACAGTTCTTTTATTATGGAATTTATGTTAATTTCTATATGAAGTATATGATCAGTGTTGAATGCAGTCAAAGGATATAGTTTTTCATCTTTTTTATCTGGCGAAAAGGGGGTAATAATTTATAGGAATAAACTATGAAATATGAGCTATATTTTGCTAACCGTGGTGCTGAAAGACGTTGAATCTATCTTAATATATAAGGAAAACAAAATCATCTATTGAATATATGATTGATTTTGAGTGCACTGTATTATGACTTAGAAAGAAATATTTTATTCGCTTATTTATTGTATCAATAGCCTTGGAGTGATAAGACATTATCATTTAATATTAAAAAGAAAAATTCTATAAAACTTTGTTATTTGATTAAATGCATTGTATTCAGTGAAATATAAGTTATTATATGAGTCAAAAAATATTTTTCGATTTTCATATTTTATATGTATCAATTATTGAGAAAATATTTCTATTTCAAATTTGATCAATTGAAAGAGATATTCTTCTAAATTTTAAATTTGATATTTAAATGAATTTGTTAAATCTACTTTTTCTTGCGAATTTGATCTATTTATAAAGTTTTATCAATTTTGGAGCAATTCAATAAGAAAAGCAAAAACTCCTGTGTTACACTACATATCTGAGAACTCAGTCAGAATTTATTAGTTAGAGATTTAAATAAAACGATGCTGAGAATCAACAAAGTATAATTTAGTCAAACTTTGTTCCAAAACAATTGTCAAAATTATGATTTCGACAAAAAAAAAATTTCGTTTAATGAAAAAATTCGATTCAGCCTAAGTTATTGTTGATGTGCTGCCGAAATAATCTCAGTTTATCATCTTTCATATACAATAATGAAAAGATAGCAGATGTAATAGTCAATGTATCAGTACGAACTTTGTTCTATTTAATACTTATGTTAAATGGATGTGTTAGATGCAGTATTGGATTCTTTATTGAATAATACTACTTCTAGTGAAAATCATTAAGGGGCCCCCCTCAGAAACGAACTTTGTTATTTTTCGTCCGATTTCACCCAAATTTTTGGAGGATATTAGTCTAGGATAGGATAGATTATGAGTGAAATATCTCCCCCAAATTTCCAATAAACTAATGAGTTATAGTCAATTTATTGGTCAAAA